TACGTAACATATAATGATAAAAGACACTGACGTGAAATGATAGTTAGCTATAGCACCGAACAAAGAAATAAAATATATTGTGATAGGCTCTCCTAATCATGGGCGGTGAACCTTTTAGGGATGCAAAGAACTAAATACATAGAAGTAGCGCATCAAAACAAGCGAAAACACGTGTGAATATTTGAATTATTACAACAAAATTTATTACTAAGTTACAGATAAATAACATGCTCAGCTGTTCTAAGGCTCTGAAGTCTAAATCCTGGTTTCTGAAAGTGTCCTCTGCTAGCTTAGCGACAGAAATACATGGCCTAAGTATTTCTTGTTGTAGCTAAGTTCAAAATCTATCTCAATCTTGTTTAAAATTTTTTTCTCCCTAGCTTTTCATGTTATTGCCTGAAAGAGTTGTACTAAAGTAACGACTATCAGTTTTTCTTTACCTCTATTTCATAGCAAACACAGTTTATATGGAAAGCTTGACCCTTTCATCGTTTTCAAGATCACCATTGGCTCTCGATGATCATGTATGTTTTTCTTCACCAAGGCATGTTTTGCTTTCCATGAGAGTCAACAGATGATTTGAAAAATTTTTTTCGAAATAAATGAAAGAACAGAGTTAATAAAGACTCCGGCTTCGTACTAGTCTGCTGTGGGTACCTCAAATTGTCGACAAATTCCTTAAGCTATAATCTAAGTTAATTGTTTTTCATTTTTGATAACAGAGTCAAAGAACCCCTGGTCAAGTATTACCTTCGAGCGTTCTTTTGTTAATCGTTGGTTAAATATTCTCGGATGCAAACGAGAAAAGCGCATTTCATCTCCATCTTTTGCAGTTTTCAAGCCTTTTTTTCCTTCAGAATCAAAACAAACCAAACATCACATAACCATAACAACACCACGAGCGAAGATTGAAGTTGTTCGCCGCTTTTCCGGCTGCCTTCGTCCTTCCGTTATCCTTCCGACAACACACGATCACTTTCCACAATTCACCCATCCGTAAAAACCAAAACAAGTCGATATTACTCACATGCGACGTCACTAACTCGAAACTCATCATCAGATACGGAAAATAACAAAGTAGTTCAACATATTGTGGTTACCTTTCTCATTCATGAGCAGTGACCCTTACTCGGCCTACATGAATGAATGCAAATTTAACGAATGTAGAAGTCACACACCAGGACAAAACAAAACACGTGTAAACGGCTCAAAACACAGGAATACGGTACAAACAGGGATACAGGGCGAAAAAGGTACACTGGATCTCAATTAAGTGTACTTTTTTAGTTCCTTTGAGGACCAAAACAAACCAAACTACAGAGATATCTATAACCACATCACGAACAAAGATCGAAGTTTCTCGGCATTGCTCGGACTTAACCGAGTGGCTTCCGAACAACACACGAGAACTTGTACAGCCAATTTACCCATTCGTTAACACTTGTCGAAGCTACTAAGAAACTTTTTTCATTAAAAACAAATAACTAAGCAAATTAGTTCATGCATATTGCGTCTGATTTTCTGTGTGGATGAGATTTTAATTGGAAAAGTACAAAGTGCAAGTGCACCATCAACATGTCGTCAATCTACCCAACTATATCGAGGTAAACTGACCGTCAGGGATTCTATTTTCGCTACCATTTTCATCCCACGCATCTTCTATTTACAAAAGACGAGCGGAAAAAAAACCTGGGACAATTTACTCCCCCGTTATGCCCAGAACTTTCAACTTTAAAATAGATAACGCCTTTATGACGTTCCACACATACTCAATTGTAACTTTTCTGATTTTTTTTTCCGGTATTATGTCTATGCAGTTCGTCATGGTACGACATGCGTGAACGCGATGCAAACATATCCTTCTAGCACAATGTGTAGGTGAGAGGTGACGATTTTCTGTGACAACCATAACCTAATGAAGTCAGTTTTCACCTGAGGGCTCAACACAGACTGAGCTAGCACTATCTATTTTTGTAATTTATATCAATGAATTTTCCGCAAGGACTTAAATACTACAGACTGAAAGTACCGTCATCAAAAAAATCAATATGTTATGTCTTCATTTAATGAGTATCTACTTAGCCTGAAGGAAAACGTCTCTAATTCTATGGTAACAACCTTAACCCCTAGCCAGTTACATCTCACATGAGCCTTGTATTTTTCGAGAATAAGTAAAAAATAGGCTTGTATAGAAATGTTGATTGTAAAAGACAAACAACATTTAAAAATAACTTTATTAACTTAAACTCTAAGACACACACAACTGAGATAGTCCACTGTGGGCAGTTTTCAAGATTTCAGACACTACAAACTGTGAGCACCGTGATTAAAATGAACATGAGTTTCTCTCTTGGCGGCACGAGATATGACTGTTTACTGTGACATTTTCACTCTACAGTCTGGCAATAGCTGATGGGTGTAGAACCGTCTAAATGTTATTACATAAGTTCTGTAAAAGGGCTATTATGTGCTTTTCAGACGATGATCTGTGGCTCAGATGGTATTTTAAGCACAGCTTTAGAACTGAATGACAAAAGGATTTGAAGTAGGAACTTGTCAAAGCCTTGAGTATCCATTTAGCTTCAGGGAGAACGTTTTTTCACTCTCTATAGTATTAGGTACAGCCCACGTAAGTTCAGTGTTTTTTTCGAGAATATATCAGAAATAGGATTGAATTGAAATATTGATTGTAAACAACAAACAAAATTTAAAATGATTCTCTAAACTTAAATCTCCACCATACACACAATCGAGATAATCTACTGTGCGCGGTTTTCAAGATTCTCTGACAACCACACCACAATACCACAAACTGTAAGCACTGTTAGCAAATAAAATAAATGTTATGTCGTCTTTTCTTGAGTACCTATTTTGCTTGAGGGAAAGCGTTCTTTAACCTCTCTAGAACCAGTTATAGCCTACGCAAGCCCAGTATTTTTCGAGAAAAAGTCAAAAATAGGATGGAATCAAAAGGTTGATTGTAAACAACGTTTAAAAATATACATACAAATGAGATAGCCTAAAGTCAGTAGTCAAGCGAATAAATAACGTCAACCGAACATCTTCGCTCGACACCAGGGCTCAACACTTTGTTGTCATTTCTATTGGAGTAGCCACACGTGCGAACGCGTGCTTTAAAAAAGCGCGCGGCGAGTAACCTCGCGAGACACTAGCTAGCCATCACGCAACGATATCAGAACCCAGCCAATTCTAATTGGAAGTAGCTTATCTACTAAGGTCAAATTGAGGGGGAGGATTTAACAGATTTAAAGCCTTATTCGCTGCATGCCAAAGCAAGGAATTCATTTATCTAGAACTCATACATTTACGACTTTGCACTTTGATAAAAATTTTTTTCCTGCTATAAGAATTATCGAAATATTGGGCAAAATTATTTTTCTTCCATTTTATCATGACCCCGACAAACACGCTCTCTTTACCTTCTCGTTTTGGGCTTTTCTTAGTCTAGGGAGGACAAAAAAATTGGTTAAGTAAATTAGAAAAAAATTCATCAATTCCGGGCCGCAATGTAAAAATAACAGCGTGACCCATTGCACAACACTATTTCGTTCGATTTCCGTTTCTAATAATATTTGCACCGTTGCATATTTAGACAACAGACTTAATTCTCTAAGCCGCTGAAATCGATCTCGAAATAGGACGATTTTCACCACATGTGACGTCACTATTAGCAAGATCACAGGAGGAATTACGTAATATTCGAACTACAATACGCAATTGAACAATTTCAATGATGTGCGCTAGGTTGGTGGCAAAATTCTCCGAATATTTGGTATGCGCTCTCTTTTAAAAGGAAAAAAGATTTACACTTCTGTAGAGAGTTTAGTCCACAGTTAGATTTCTAATTAAAGAGTCACTTTTGCTGTAAACAATGGAAGATTTGAGAAATGTCACGCCAAAAACCAAAGTTGAACGTCGTAACATCCACGGGATTTTTTTAAAAAAAGTGGCAATCACAAATGTCAAAAGATGATCTTCGACCCTTGGGGAGATTCGATTGCGCGTTCTCTCAGAAAAAAATATTGAACACTTTAGTAGAGAGTGTGGTCCATACTACAGCTTTTATGTGATATGCACGAGGATGGTGGCAAAATTATCCACATAATTGGTTTGCGTACTCTTTAAGAAGAAAAACAAAATGTACTCTTCAGGAGAGAGTTTAGTCCACACTACAATTTTTAACAGAAGGGTCACGAATGCAGTATATTATGAAACGGTTTGGCAATTGTCATGCCAACGACCGGAACTAAGTGCTGTAACATCCGCGGGATTTTTAAAGATAAATTGGCAGTTTAAAGTGTCGAACATAATCTTCGACCCTTGAGGGGAGATCAATTCCGCATTTAAAGTAATTCCATGTTAAATTAAATAATAAATAATTGTTAGCATTAGTATTTAAGGTTAGGCCCAGGTTGCAGTCTTTCAGCTGCTGAAAGACGTTACCGGAACACTGTTTCTCTGGGGGACGAATTCATCATTAAGAAGAAAACCATTGCAATGAGAGGGAAGAGACCAAAACTTGAGAACAAGGGCGAAATGATGTGATAAACTTTGGCTAAAGGGGAGGGAGTGATGAAATGAAAATCTTGGTACGTGGGTGGAACAATACTTTAAAGAAATCTGGATGGGATATTCCCTCATTTATAGCTTCCCTCACCCTTTAAATCCAACATGTAAAAATCAAACAGCAACTTCCTCTCACAATTTCAATCCAATTTTCAAATCCACAAAATCGGTAATGATAATAGAAAAAAAAAAACAAAACAGTTAGTGTGTTATCTTGATTAAACACCAAATTCTCTTAATAAACTGGCAAGCCAATGTGTAGCTGCAAGAAGGGAGATTTTACGTGTGAAAGGGTCATCAAGATTTTTCCTTGCCTTACCCTTCCCCACACAGCAATGTTACAATACCACTGTTACTACCCACCCTACATCACACAGCAATATATCATAATACCACTGATACTGTCCCTGACCTGGTGCTTGTGAACCATTCCTCACCTTACCCTACCCCACATAGCAATACATTACAATGCTACTGTTAGTACCCCTGACCTGGTGCTTGTGAGCCACCATCCTCTAATCTCCTCTGATGAGCTTCAAACAATGTCAAATAATCTGGATCATCTTGTTTCTGAGTCTTGATTATTCCATGATGCTGACGCACATCTTCAAGTGATGCCTCAGATCCTCCATCTGAAAATTCTAAAGAATGCATTTTGATATCATTCAAGGAATGTTTAATTTTATTCACTCACTTACTAGCCACAACACCTTTTGAAAACTCACTTATCAAGCTACAAACATGCAGTATTTTTTTTGAGAGAAAACAGTACATAAACTATAGGTATTTGAGAGACATATCTTTTCCTTTGCTTTAATTTGTATATTCTCCATACTGATCTCTATATGTTTCCTCAGATGCTGACAAGGAGAATTTATTTAAAGATCAAAAGCTGTTTCAGTTGGTGATCATTTTCCTTATTCTTATGACCTCAATGTGTGATTCAGGGGGGATTTTGAAAGGAGAAATTAGATACACATCACATGCTCATATAAAACTTTGTGAACCCTTTAACTCCCAAGATCTAAAAATCAATTTTCTGCACAAAATCATACAATGCACACTGGTTGCTTTTTTTCTCTTCCTATCATCAACCTTTTGCTTGGAAATGCACTGTTATTGTATGGAGATAGTCTGTTTTGGTTGTTCTTAAGAGTGAAAGGTCTTAGTAGACCCCGTATACAAACCACTCTAATAAAAGCTATAACAAAATTCTTTAAGTGGTTGGTTATCACCAGCCTGATTTTGGCACAAATTGGACAGTGTAAGTGTCATACTTGTAATTGGACAGTGTAATAGGACAGTTAAAGGCCCAGTTAACATATCATGCCTGTGTAAGTGGACAGAATGTGTCATGTGTGTGTGCTGTTTTCTCACATTACATTATATTAACTGTGGTTTTGTTAAATTTTTTAAAATCTTTTTAAAAATAAAAATAATGAGCAGCACACAGCAACAGATCTTGTCAACTTATTTTAATATTTGACCAGTTTCATCTGATCACACAGACTTCATCAGGGATTTAACAAGATGAACAAAATTGAACTACTAATATAATGGATGCTTACAGTACAAATCACATTCAAATTGGGTGTGAACAGCAAAAAACCTCTCCAAACAGGAAATTTTATACAAATCCAGTTTAATCATAAAATAAACATTATTTAACTTGTTACACTGGATTTGCATAACATTTCCAATTTTTTACACACTAGATTTGCTTAACATTTCCTGTTTGAGGGTGTTTTTCGCTGTTCACACCCCAATTTGAATGTGATTTGTACTATAAATGCCCGATGTCTAGTTTCTGTCTCAAATTTTGTCATAGTTTTGATTAACTGGTAACAGGACTTCATGTCTTCCAATTCTGTCTGTAATCATACTTGTGATTAACAAATCAAACTCCTGCTTCATTATCATCCAATTTTGTAAATCACTCGTACAATTACAGACCAAATTGGACTCCACTTGGTCCTATTACCATTATTAACTCACCAGTATCTTCTCCTTCTTCATCCTGCTCTGGATTCTCTGACTCTTCATCAGAGGGCTTTGTATTCCTAGTGCCAGATCCCTGACAGAGTGAGCTAGCTCTAGAAGTCTTGTTGTCCTCCACTAAAAATATGTAGCGATCTCCATCCTGAACCAGGCATGTGGATTTTTGTGCTGCTGATGCATGACTGCTACTGAGAACTATTGGAACTAGAGATTCAAATAGATTTTCTAGCTTTAATGCTTGATCTAAATCATATACTGATGTTGTGAAAACAGAAGCTGAGTGGCCAACTTTTTGAACTCTGCAAAGAGCAGTCAGACCAATATAGCCACAAGTAGCTAACAAAACAAACCCCTGTATTATCATTTCAAACACATTTTGCAAGTTTAACAACACCACTATGCAAATAACTAGGGAGCAAGGCTCAAACCTTTGTCAAATGATAGAAACAGATCTCTAATGTTGGTAGCTGGAGGCCTAGAGCTGTTCTTTCCATCATCCGGTGGATTAATGCCTGGATGTTGTGAGCAGGTGTTAGTTTGTTGACCTAAAAAAAGATTGGATGAGCACTAAAGCATGTTACAAAATATCTGTGAATGACATTTTTTAAAATACCTTGAGTAAGTAACTCACCAACAGAGATAAGCATCTACAGCAGATGGCTTTTATGAAGGTTTTGTAAAAATTGTCTGAATGCTGATTTCACGGCACTCCTTGAATTGCTATTTGACACTCAACAGAGTATGATTTTCACTGACTTGAGTCTAAACCAAGGTGTACTATATTCCCTCTTCACAAACTAGATAGCTGATATCAAAATTTGGTATTACTTCAAATAACCATGACTGATAAACCTATTGTTAGCCAAATATCACATTTTCTGCACAAGCCTTTGTGGAGACATCTTAGATTTTCAAATCTTCCTACTGTTCATTACGGGAAAACTTGAAATCCTAAAAGAGATCGTGACTGCAAAGAAAGAACTTCCAAAATTTTATCGCACGTGGGCTTTTTTACTTTAATTTTTCATGCTGCTGTTTGTTTTTAGGTTAGACTTATACTTAATTTCATAAATATTTGTTTAAGCTATATCAAAAGTAAATATCCAAAGAAATGTAGCATTTTTGAGACCTGTATGTTTACTTGTGATTGTCTTTTAATTGAAAAGAACTTTGTAAACACGCCAACCGTAAATTAAATTAATGTTAATAGTATTGTAATACATGTATCGTAATGTAGTGTATGCATAATTAGTGTAAGTATAAGTATAAGTAGTGTAAGTAGCAAGTACAATGTAAGTGTAATTATTACTGTAAGTAGTGTAAGTGATTGTCTTGTAAATAAAATTGTTTAAAAAAAAAAAAAATAAAATAAAAAAATAACTGATAAACCCCTTACACCCTAAGAGAGACCAGCATCTACTTTCTCCTTACAGTAATGCTGCTGAATCATTCATTGAGATCATGAGAATTAAGGGTTTAATTGCCAACTTAAGAAGTTTTGATTTTGAAACAAATTCTCATGTTGGTACTAAAGGGAATGTATAGAGAAGAGTATGGAGAATATGGATATTGATGTTAGGATATAAAGAGTTGAAAGGAAATGAATGGTGGGTAGAAAGAAAATTGCAAATTACATCTCAAGGTTCAACTTAACAAAAACTGTATATCCATCATTGTTCTTGTTTATCCTATGCAATGGACCATACCAGAGTGAAAATCCATTCCATACATTTATTCAGAGATACCTTCTTTCGCCTTTGTTTCTGAAGGGTTAGAAAGTGAAGGACTCTTCTCTTTTGCGCCAACTTCTGTAGAAGCTGAACTCACAGAGCATCTTGTACCAGTAGTTTTGTGAGGCATCAAAACCAAACTTGCTACGCCTTGCATTCATGCAACCTTAAACAAAACAATTCTGTTGATGAGTTATTAAAAGAGGGAGTGATATGCGAGCTTATTCATATATAAAGAAACTAACATACTCACCCTTAGAAATGAGAAACTTATTTTTTTTACGATTTAGGTTTATCTTTAGTGCCGACATAGCGAGTTTCATATGAAGGAAAAATGGTAAAATTGTAGAGGTATTATTTTAACAACAAATATATATGAAAAAAAAATCATTCCGGTGCGAAGAGTTTGCATCCCTAAATTAAGAAAGATCATTTGAAAATCGAGCCAGCTAGGACTTAAGACCCAGCTAAACGATCCAACATGCTCTTTCCACAGGATGTTGTATTAAATCACTTTTTCAGTTTTAAATAAGCTTACGAAGCTTTTATACGCAATGAGTTCTAAAGGGAAAATACTTGTAAGATTATTTTACTTAATGTAGAGGCAAAGTAAAGCGTAAATAATACAGAATCTCATAAACCTTCTTTAAGGATGTTTCTATGGTAATCTGAACATTGCTATGACAATATAACTGACTTTTACAGATAGAAGAGCAAACTTGCTGCATAAGTAATTGATAATACTTTGAAATGGTGGAGCATCACTTTTTCGGGAAACTTTCCTTTTACGGTGTCTTAGATGATGTTAGAACATTAACCATACCTTTCCAGATGACTTTTGATCAGTAAAATAAATAAGAAAACGAATTTTAACCGTTTCTCTAGGCTTACTGTAAGTGTTGCGAAGCCTTACAAATTCAAAATAGCGAACACGAGCGAGTAAGTCTTTGTCCCAGGGTCTGCTCGGACAGGCGACTTCACTTCTGTTGTGCCTAAATCCTACCGGCTACCGGCTCGAGGTACGCCCGAGAAGCACTAGTGACGAGTTTTCAAATCGGGGTGATTATCGGAAATTGTCGGAAATTGCAATATGGCGGACTATTCCAGTAACACCATTCGCGATTTACCCACAGTCAAGCGACGTAGTTGAACCAGACATGAACATTATAAGCATGCTTTACATGTGAAGAATACATTGTTGAGTTTAAATGAAGGAAAATTTTGCTACATTTTGTGGGTCTGTTTCTTTCACCCTCGTCGATCTTGTTCAGCAGAGTTTTAGCTCAACACTGTAGAGTCAATTAAATATGCGAGTTGTACTTCAAGTATTTTCTAAGCCTCCTAAGATACTACTAGCCAGAGGTTATAGACTAAATAAAAGAGAACAAAATGTAAATTTATTCATGAAAAAAGTGATTCCAAGGAGTGCAAGACTAATTTAGAGTGCAGAAAAGTAAACTGAGCAAACCGCAATAAAAATTGGGCAAAGTTGACTAAATATGCAAGCTGTACCTCTAGCTGGTAGTCTTTCCTAAGCTTCCTAAGCTGTGATCCTACCAACTGGAGGTAAAAGGCCAAATAAAAAAACTAAAATTTAAATATATTCTTTAAAAAAGAATTGATTCCAAGGAGTGTGAGACTACAACTTGGAGTGCAGAAAAGTAAAATGTGGAGCAAACCTTAATAAAAATTATGCAAAGTCAACTAAGTATGCAAGCTGTACCTCTAGCCGGTAGTATTTTAAAAGTCCCTTCAGATCCTACCAGCTAGAGGTACAAGACCAAATAAAAACAAATAAATATATATACGTATTCTTGAAAAAAGTGATTAAAGGATCCTCGGACTAATTTGGAGTGCAGAAAAAGTAAAATGTGAAGCAAACCGTGGTAACAATTGACCAAAGTTGACTAAATATGCAAGTTGTATCTCTAACCTGAGCCCCCTGAGATCCTACCTGCTAAAGGTACAAGGCAATAGAAATTTCATCAAGGGGGATCTTTCTAACCAGTAGCACTATGACAAGGGCATTATAGTGGTGATACTATTCATAAGTTTTTTTTACCTTTGCAAATGTAGGTCTTAGCGGCTACAGCGTTAAGCTAAGACTGCTGAACAAGAAACTTAAGATTGATAAGGGTGAAGGAAACAGCCACTCAAAATGTAGCGAAATTTCCTTGATTTAAACTCAACAATGTATTCTTCACATGTAAAGCATGATATAATGTTCATGTCAGGTTCAATCACGTCGCTTGACTGTTGGTACGTCGCAAATGGTGTTACTAGTCCGCCATATTGCAATAACCGACAAGTTCCGATAATCACACGACTCTGAAACTCTCACTAGTGCTCCTCGGGCGTACCTCTAGCCGGAAGGATTTAGGCACAACCCTTCTGTTGCGCCGCCATCTTGAACTGGAATTTTCGCGTGCAGGCAGACGATTTTAATAAGCTGCACTGGGTAAGTTACCATCAGAAACAATATTAAAGGCGTTCCTGAACGCAAGATTGTCCCGTAAAGAATGCGCTGATATTCTTGAACAATCCGCAAAACTTTCCGAGACTATAAAAATTGAACCTCAACGAAATTTCGGCGGTAATTAGAATCATAATAAGCAATCCTACCCCATACATCCATTCCTCGACGCGTTTGAAATTCACTTGGCCTGCTTGGTTGTGACTGGCAGTGTTTCAAGAGCGGCGAGTGCTTGCGCTTTCGTTCAGGCGGTGGGGTAGTCAGTCCGTGTTCCAAAAATGCGCGTAATGATCCGTTATTTAGATTTATATGCGAGCTAAAGTAGCACCGCGTCGCCATGAGCATTGGAATCCTGGCTTGGGTTGAATTCTCAGGTATCAGTATATGTTGCAGTATAGGGGCGTATTTTGTCTGACCTTCTGCTTTGTCACGTCGGCCTATCTTCAATGATCTAGAAAGCCCTAACCCTTTAATTCCCTGAAGTGATAAACATGTAACTCCTCCCTATAAAATCAATACATTATCCAGCAAACAGGTAGTGAGAATAAACAAACTTATCAGTCAGAAGTTGTTCTCTTAATCTAACACCAAATTCTTGCGACTAATTTATAAGGAAATGAACAGCAGTTCAAGGGAAGAAGTTACTATTCGATCTCGGGAGTTACAGGGTTAAGGAAATACGCTACCGCTCGTGTAAGTGGCCGTTGAATTTGCCGCCTTATTCTCTTCAACGGTTGACGTTCAAACTGGCCGATATAAATCAAGTAAGTCTGATCTTACAAGATTTTGTTTCGTCCGGCGATGTAACTCGGGATTTCGGGCGTCATGACTTTTGCGCGACTTGACGGGTTACCATCTTCAACATGTCAACTATAAAGACTTAACCAAGGATTTTGGGTAAGAGAATGACGAGGGTATGACCCAGAGAGCCTTTACGTCCCTAATTTGAGTTGGCACATCAATAAGCAGTACAGAACGGTGTTGCATGTTCCTCTCCTCTCGCGTCTTTCTTTGCTGAAGAGCTTACACTGAAAAAATAACGTATCAGCTTATTGTGATTCACTAAAAAAGGGTGTCCAAAGTAAGTGCAAAATAAAACATGTAACCAGATAAGAGGAGGCCTCGCCGCCACTCCTGAGGTAGATTCTCTCATGTGTTGTCTCCTCGGAACTTTATTTTAGTTTCAACTAAACTTCACATGCAACGGGCTTACTAGCCTTTCATGAGACGGTGGCCAATTTACGTTTTCAACTCATTTCGTAAAAAAAGCTGTGGTCATTCATCGTGGTGAATAACAATAAAAGCTAAGTTTTTCGTTTGTCTCACGATGCAGTCACGTGTGATGTAGATCGCGACGTTTCGACTGCATACTGCTAGTCTTCTTCAGGCGATGAGGTCGACTGGTCATGCGTGATGCTCAGATATCGATATTTCGAGCTGTTTTCAACTCAGTTGTTAACACTAAATTGATTTCATGAGACAGACTTGGGAGATTTCACTAACTATTTGGTCATTGTTTTTATGTTGTGGTGGCTCCTGAAGGAGCCGTTTGTTGAGTGAGCAATGAAATCCACTTATTGCTTCTCGAAACGCCACAACAGCTGAGCTCTGGAACGCAGATGTCTTGAAATCTCAAGCGATTTCTCCCACAGATCACTGGAAGGGCAACTCGCGGATCGACAGCCCGGTGGATTTCTGGTAACGGCGGATCTCTTGAAGAGCGACTGTTACCAAGTTTCTTGACTCCATCTGTTGCAGGAGCGCTCTTACGAGCTGCCTTTGTGGCGAGCTGTTAACATGGTGCTTTCCCACCGGTTTATTTAAACGCAGTCTGCTTTATATGCGCCGTTTGCCAAAACATACGATTTGTTATTCATTGACCCTCACGATGAATATATTTGCAAATTGGCGGGCTTCAAAGTGATTGGTGGAAAAAGAAGCTATTTGATTGGCTAGACAAATGTAGTTTTGGAGCAGATATCGATATTTCAATCGAATAAATTGAGACACAAAGAAGGCCTGAAAATCGTTCTAATTTTAGATCTAACAATACAAAACGAACCATTTCTAATTCATTGTGTAGTGCCGTGAGGATCTTTATCATTTTCTTCATTTGTAGGCGATTTATACATCAGGATTCTAACCTGACGGAGCATGACGTCTTTCATTTTCCTCAACCAAGACGAACAAACACATGACAAAAGGACAATGAAATATTGATCAAGTTTCGTTTTATTCTGATTTGACGATTGGTTGTTTCTCAACGTTTCCTGAGAGGTCGTTTCCTTGGCTATAAAAACCGTAATGTACTATAATGTGGCTATAGTCACTGAATGATTTAGCACTCGATTTAGTTCTATAATGTCTGGGCGCGGTAAAGGAGGCAAAGGTCTCGGAAAAGGAGGTGCAAAGCGTCACCGAAAGATCCTTCGTGACAACATTCAAGGTATCACTAAACCAGCTATCCGTCGTCTTGCTCGTCGTGGCGGTGTTAAGCGAATCTCTGGCCTGATCTACGAGGAGACTCGTGGCGTTCTTAAAGTTTTCCTTGAGAACGTGATCCGTGATGCAGTGACATATACCGAGCACGCTAAGAGAAAGACTGTGACAGCCATGGATGTGGTGTACGCTCTGAAGAGACAAGGCCGCACTCTCTACGGATTTGGTGGTTAAATGACTCAGTCTACTAAAATAGAACTAACGGCTCCTTTAGGAGCCACCAAATCTTACAAAAGTCGTGACCAATAAAGGTTGATTGATATTGACGGTTTTGTTTATACCTGACGCGCCGCAAACAGCAAATCGATAGTAGATGCGGTCATTTTCAGTGCCAACGACTGCTGCTCAATCGTACAGTGGTATATTATGAAATTTTGTGCCATCACTAAGAATAATTAGCCGTTCATTCCACTACGAATAACGTGGGACACAGGTAAGCTTCTGAGTAAGCCACTTTTTCGGTCGAGTAGAATCAAGGAAGAGCGGACGGTTGTCAAAGCAAGAGATAAGGAAATCATCTTACAACCCTCAATGCTATTCAGACGAAACTTACAAGCGGGTGCATCATGTAGCACGAATGCTCAAGTTACGCAAGTTTTGCGGTGAATACTATAAATATTACTATGCAACATAGTTTAATCAACCAAGAGTTAAAAAGATTAAGCCAATGGCGCGTTCGATCAAACGGTAGAGTAAGCTGTGGATGGACTCCCGTGCTGGCGCACTACGCCGATTACCTGATTGTAACGTATTTTCTCGAATAGAGTTCAAGTGTAATGTCCGAACCATTCTCTTAGAACATGCTAATAAATCGCGCGTATTTAGAGTAAGACACGCTGTAAAATCCTCCGCAATACGAGCAAAAATAAATAAATTTTTACGAGATAGACAAAAAAATGGCGAAAGCAATAAAGTTTCGATTATGTTATTTGCAACGCAAAGTTAAGGTTATTTAATTACTAGTGTGGAAAGTTGATCACGACTCTTTCAATATCTGTTGGCTCTTAAAAGAGCCGTTTGTTTCAACCGACGACATTGGTTTAGGCTTTAGGTTTCTTTTCGGTCTTTTTGGGCAGGAGTACTGCCTGGATGTTAGGAAGAACGCCTCCCTGTGCGATGGTGACACCGGCGAGCAGTTTGTTCAACTCTTCGTCATTACGGACAGCAAGCTGAAGGTGACGAGGAATGATTCTTGTTTTCTTGTTGTCACGAGCAGCATTGCCTGCCAACTCGAGGATCTCAGCGCTCAAATATTCAAGCACAGCAGCCAAGTACACTGGAGCACCGGCGCCAACACGCTCAGCGTAGTTGCCTTTACGGAGAAGACGGTGGATTCGACCGACAGGGAATTGAAGCCCTGCTCGGGATGAGCGACTCTTGGATTTGGTACCCTTAGCTTTGCCTTTACCGCGACCAGACATGATGAAATAGTTCAACAAGACATACACTAAATAACAGAGTTTAAGTGCGGCGAAATCGTAACACCGAAATATTTATCCTTAGCTCTGCAGGTCTCAGGATCGAAAAGCACCAATCAGAAATTTGTTTACATGCGGTATTCAAAGGACTATTGTATTATTAGAAAATTACAGACCAAAGTTTTAAGTGACCTGTCAGTGTAACCAATCAGAAAGCGTAGATTTCGATCCGTACGTTAATCTATCCTTCAGTCATTTTAGTATAAATACAGGATGAACCTAATAAACCGTTACAGTTCTATTCAGATCGACAGACATGGCACCAAAAGTAGCTGGAAAGAAAGGGGAGAAGAAAGCCGGAAAGGCGAAGGCGATTGCCGATGGCGGAAAGAAGAAGAGGAGAGGAAAGAGAAGGGAAAGCTATGCTATTTACATCTACAAAGTGTTGAAGCAGGTTCACCCTGATACTGGTATCTCCAGCAAAGCCATGGGCATCATGAACTCGTTCGTGAACGACATATTCGAGCGTATCGCCACCGAAGCTTCTCGCCTGGCACAATACAACAAGAAATCCACCATCAGCTCTCGCGAGATCCAGACCGCCATCAGGCTGCTTCTGCCCGGTGAGCTGGCTAAACACGCTGTCAGTGAAGGAACTAAGGCTGTGACTAAATACACAAGCAGCAAGTAAACTCACTTTGTGGGTTTCACGTCCAATTCAACGGCTCCTTTAGGAGCCACCAAATGTTACTAAAGTCTGATCAACTGAAGGGCCGAACGTGAAAAAGCAAAAGCTACCCAAAAAATTAGTATGAGATATTCAAGGACAAATAGATGTTCAATATTATGTAGTTTTATTGAATAAAACCGGTAGAATTACCTCCCATACACGATTTAAAAACTATATTTTCCCAAGTTGTGTTATGAGTAAAAAAATACAAATCTCTTTTAACGCATCATTTTTAAAAGCAACATTGCTACAGAACTCACCAAATCATATTTTTTCTTGTTAGAATCATTTCAATCATCATTCCCCTTACCTAAAATACTTTGTAACTTACCAGTATACTATCATATAATTAGTACAAAATATATCGTAATATCGCTTAAAATCTGTTTCCTATACTTGAGCCATTTTGCTTTGTCACACAACGTTTTCTTGCAAGGATAAGAACTACGCAATACGTGACTATACAAATCATTTGAGAAGCAGGTCCACAAAATCTGCTTTTAAATGTGACGGTCTAAAAAAAACCCAGCTATGACGGTAATAAGAGTGGTTAAAAATGTTACAATTTTTTTTCTGTAAATATTAAATTCATTAAAATAGCCGTAGAAATCACATCTGATATCAAAGACATCCTTCCATTGAAAATTAGAAAATTAATGTACACATGATGGTTATCTATAGAATTGTGGATACATGGTAAACTTAAAAACCCAAATATGGCAATATTATTACTGATCAGCAGGAAGTTCTTCATACAATTCTTCATCAATTGGATCTATAAAAAAAATGAATCAATGAATACTTCTGAAAAATTATTAAGTTAATAGATTAATTGCTTAAAGAATTTGTGATAGAGCTAAATTTGAAGCAGTGTTTGTACCTTGTCCCCCTATATCATCATACACCTCTTGGTCATCTTCTGAAATGATAGCAGAGATTGAAGAAATACAAATAAGAAATTTTTTTTTTTAAATTTTCTAAGGTAAAATTTTGAGTTGAGTGAAGAAATAGAAAAAGATGTTATTGGTCTTATTGTGAGCCTGGGAGAAATAGAAAATTCTTGAGTTCTGGTGAGGAACAGGATCTCAGACCTTAAGACTCTGCAATCCAATGCTCTACCGCTGAGTTACAAAGACTCTATAGTAAGCAAGGTTATCACTAAGTTCACTCATGACACACATCCTGTATACTGTGAGGATCAGCAATGTCCTTTGAAGAAAAGACTTCTGAAGTTACACAAAAAACAGTTTTCTTTGTTTGGTTTATTGTAGTAATTCTTATTGTCGCTTCCCACTGTTTCCACTCTGGCCTTGTTTTGCAGACTAGGGTTACAGCACATCAGGATTACACACCCAGGGGTTTGGACAACTTTTTACTGTTTTACTGCAGCCACCTAAGAAAGGGAAGTTAGGCAAAACCCAAACATAATAACCTGCCCTCAGGTTAAACAGACACATGTAAGGTGTCTTGTATTAAAAACCTAGGTAATGAGAAAAGAAAAGGTCATTGATTTGCAAGAACAATAAATTAGTTACTCCTTACATAATACTTTAAGGTAGGATGTCTTGTTCATCCTTTGTATAGAGACTACTCCCAAAGATATTTTAAACAACATATACAAACTTAATTTAATTTTTACCTTCTTCTATGATCTGTCCACCTTTTTGATACTGATCTACATCTTCATAAAAATCCTCAGTTATGATTGCACTGTTAACCGAAAAAAAGTTCTTAACCCTTTCACTCCTTGAAGTGATTAACATCTAACTTCTCACCATAATATCTATACACTATAGAGCAAACAAGTAATAAGAATTCTCAAACTTATCAAGGAAATGTGTAGCAGCTAGAGGGAGGATTAACAATCAGTGCTGAGTTGTTCAAAAGGTTAACCAACAGTTTTTGATACAATTTTGTAGCTTTGCAGACAGTTTAAATTGTTTATATTTTTTTCTGTTCTATGCCAAGATAAAACCCCTCAAAGTCTAAGCACTATTTATTACAATTGAAAATCAAACAAAATGAATTACTAATCCATACCTCATCCTATTTCCATCGCTGTCAATCTGAAAAAAAACCAATACGATTTAAATTAACTCAAAAACTCAACACTAAGAAGTTAGAATGTGACTAAAAGAAAAAGGTTAAAATGTTGTCTTTAAAATATGCTTACTTTGAGTTGAATCAGCTCTGTAGGAATGTACCCATCTATTGAAATTAGTCAAAAATAACCATTAAGTTTCTTCAAACGTTTGACAACAACACACAGAATCAAAGAATTCAAAGTCAATGATACATACAATGTCCTGCAGTATTTTGGACCAGCCATTTTCCTTGGGGGCAATTTTTTTCACTGACAACAACCAAGGGATCTCTTTCTTTTACTGGCAGTTCAAACTTTCCATCACCAGCAAAATTGCTCTTGGCCTCTCCTATCCCAGTATTTTCATTTCCTGGTTTGATCTGCAAAGGATTATATGGGGATTAGTCAAAAGTATTGATTTCTCCTCCCTCTTTATTTCAATCTTCACCCTTCCCTAAGAATGTTTTCTCCCATGAGTGACCAAGACAGAATTTCTCCTTGCAATATCAATACAATGTCACGCAGAAAAGTGATTGGAATGAAGATAAAATCAATAAGGGGATTATAAGTTGATCCAACACCAAATTATCCAAACTAACTTCACAAGAATTGTATGGCAGACAGTAAGGAGAATTACTAATGAGATCTTGGGTGTGTTGTAAGGATTACGACTAAAACAACAGTAAATGTGTAAAAATATAGTTTCTCATAATGTAAAATGTAGGAGTAGGTTTTGAGCCAACATATTTCACCCCCATGGAGTGTTCTTTTTGACTCTCTCACTAATACAACCTCAATATAAACTCTCTTCTCTTTGCAACACACAACTCTTGTAATCACATCTCTAGAAAATTTCTGTTAACCCTTTAACTCACAAAATCTGATGGTTACTTATCACCTCTAACTGTTACACATTTCCTTGCAAATTTGTCGCCAGAACTTGGTGTAAAATATGATCAAGATAGAACTTCTAAATGATGAGTTTAATTAGCACTGGAATACATTCACTGAAAAACCTGTTTATAAGGGTATTTTCATCACCTGTTAGTTGGATTATGTATGGATACCATAGGGATGTAACAGGGAGAAGTAACATGCTAATCACTTTTGGGAGTTAAGGACTTAAATCAAAACATTACTCTTTTTTTGGTATTTATCTTTCTTCTCTCCGACCTTCTCTATGAGAGAAACCTTCTTGGTCACTCCCGCAAGGAAAAGGATTAAAACTTAATAGTGATGATCTACCTGTCCCAATGGATATTTTTTCCAATCTGGGCTGGTGCAGTGTCGACAAAAAAGTGCTGAGAAAATCTGCCATTATTCAGCTTTTTCTCATACAAAATGAAAGCTGTTTTTAGCATATGAATCATTTACCAATTGAAAATATTTCATACTTTGTGTTTCCTGCAGAGCTCCTTGTCAACTCGTTCCCTTTTCTTCTTCTCTTCTTCTTTCCTTTTTTTCTCCTCTTTTTCTTCCCGTTCCCTTCTTTTTTCATCTTCTTTCTTCTTTTTAAGTTCTTCTTTTTCCTTCTTTTTCTGGTTTTCCATTTCCTTTTTAAGATCTTTCTTTGCTTTTTCTTTGCGTGGTAAACTACTGAGAATTTAACAAGAAATATCAAATAACACACCAAAAAAAAGAAACCATAAGACAATTTTCCAGAATTTCTCATTGGACCTTGAAGAAAAGATACCTAGAAATTTGAGTTTTAATCATCTACACCCACAGAGTGACTCCTTACAACTATCACTGCTGAATCAAAAAGTAAGGTCAAAAGAATACAGGAATTATTCACCAACCAATGAAACTTGATTGTTAAACAAATTCTCCTTGTCATTACCATGGGAAATGTATAGAAAAAAGTGTGGAGAATTAATAATGTTGGGGCATAAAGAGTTAAGTATTTAAAGGTACCACTGGTTCTTAATTCTCAAAATAACAAGAACTTAATTATTTTAGAACTAAATTTTCTGCATTTTCAGATAAATTGAAAAGCAGATATCTGTTTGCAAACATTATTATACAATTGACAATAAAAATACAGACTCCACACCTTGAAGGTAATGGAGGTGGAGTGTTGTTATTTTCAATCTGGATGTCATGCCCTCCATGATTCTTTCCATCCCTATTCTCTTCTTCAGCTGCCAGTACATCATACAATTCCTCTCCACCAATAAAAGACTGATCACCACCTACAAAATCTGTTGAACAAACATGAATCAAACAGTAATGATGGTTCACTGGGATCAAATATTGAAGAACACCTCACCGCCAAATTCTAGAATAGTAAAGCAATTCCCTAGATCTAGAAATTTAGAGCATTTTAAAATTAGAATTGTGTTAATAGCCACAAACTCAAAAAACATGATGATCTATTGTAATGGTTTTTTCTACGCTATTAATTTTCATTTTTGTAAATACTACAATCTTAGCTTGCTAACACAGCCCTATATTACTTTGAAACAGTCTAAGCTTAGTAGGACCTTTCTCTATATGGGACTTGTAGATAATCAAAAAAATATTTAGTGAATAAATCAATCAACAAACTTGATTTTTTTACTTTCCATGAAACCAACTAATATTTTAGAAGAATTGCAAAATGCACAATCAATGTGCTGTCAGAAACAAGACTTCAGGCAGGTGTTTGTACTGTCATTCACTGATTGCACTATTTGAGTTCTGAAATAAAGCCTGACCCACAGTCATTGGTGCTTAACTATACAAACGAACATGGGATAAAAGTTTCCATTAAAATTTGTATGAGTTGTATTATCTTTAAAAAAATCACTTTACCATTTTGTATTTGAAGAGCCTGTTCCTTCACAGTATCTAAATCATCATAGTTTTCATCACAAATTGGCTCAGGATTCTGCCCTTGAGTGTTACTTCCTGTATTCTCCTCCATTCCACCAACATCATCATAGTTTTCTTCAAAAATTCCTATGGTAAAGAACAGGAAAGCCATTTACTGAGCACACAAAATAAATTTAGTTTTCATTCCTTAACCCTTTAACCCCTAAAAGTGACTAACATCTTATTTCTCCTTACAACATCAGCCCTGAATTACACATTAAGGTCATGAGAATGAAGGAAATAATCACCAACTTAAGAAGCTCTTGATTGTTCAACAAATTCTCCTTGTCAGCAGAATACGCATACTGATCTCTGGGTGTGAAGAGTTTAGCATTTTTGATTTAAATTTTTAATATTTATTGCTATATAATCAACAACATTGTTATTACCATTTGCTTCCTGTTTGCCTTGTTCATCTTCTTGTCCTCCCAGAATCTGATTTTTAATTTCATCAACATCATCATACATTTCTCCGTCATCATTATCTTCAACAATAGCATCACCTAAAAAACAAATTTGTGCGGAATCAGTTTTGTCAAAATTGATGACACAATTGTGTAAACATTCCTGCAACTATTACATCATTTAATCAAAATTTCTCAAATGCTTTTTTAATTACTTTATAAGCTTAATGTGATACCAATAATAAAAGAAAAATAAGAATATTGATATTAATCCATTAACTATTAACCAAGACAGAATTTCTCCTTACAATATCAATACAATATCAAGCAGACAAGAGTTGAGAATAAAGAAAAATGTCAAGTAAGGGATTATTGATTGATCCAATACTAAACACCAAGAACTAAATTCATAGGAACTGTGTAGCAGAAAGTAAGGAGAATTCCTGACTAAATGAGGTCTTGGGACTGAAAGGGTTAAATGATTTTGCCGCAGGCTTTGTGCATGTATTGTCTAGATAAGCTGTTATAGTCATACCCATGCTGGTGTTGCTGCTGCTCTGCAGTATGCTTCGTCGTGGTGCCATAATGACACTCTTGCTCTCATACTTCTCCAACAACTTTACTAAACTATCTGGTTTTGAAGGCTTAATGGGAGCTTTCCCAAGACTTTCCATTGTAGGCAGATTGCATAGTTTTGGGTCTCCTCTGGAATCCCTACAAACAACATTTCTGTTTTTGTTAGTTAAAATTATATCTTTGTTTTCACCACTGCTATCACTGCAAGTTGAGCCTGATCGTTGTTTGGTCTGTAGATTTTCCTTGCCTGGTTTATGATTGTCTACAGATGGCTTTGGTCTAGGCTTAGGTGGCTTTTTCGGTTTCACCACCTCTGCATCTTCTTTGTGATCAAACAATGCTCTTCTTTTAGCTATAATACTTTGAAGCTCATTCTCTGGCTCATCAGTATCAGCAGTGTGTTTGTTATCAACATCCTCTGCAATCAAGCTGTCTCGCATGCCAGTCTTTCTAAGTTTTACACCAGGGATGAGCTGGGCAATGTTAACTTCAGTATTGTTGTTTGGAATTGGGTTGTTTCTTGTGGCTGGGGGTGGCTTGTTGCTTGGAGCTCTTGGTGGTGGAGTTCTGTGAAGTGAGCCCTTCTTCTGTAGAATTTCGTTTAGTGGAACTGCCATTATAATTGTACTAATTCTGGAATATCAATCACAAAGAAAAAGACATAAATTAAATTATGATAATTTCATTATTTATACACAGCAGACCATGCCAAAAAACAAATAGCCATAGTGTTAATTATTTAATTTCAAAAAATTGAAAAGTTGCAAGATCTTATGCTCTGGTAAACCATTTAAATCCCATGAGTGACCATTACAGAACTTCTCCTTACAATATCAATACAATATCAAGTAGACAAGTGATGAGAATAAAGAAAAATATCACCTAAGGGTTTATTAGTTGAATCAATACCAAATTCTTTGAACTGATAATTTACAAATTGTATGGCAGACAGTAAGGAGAATAACTAATTAGATCTGGGGGTATAGGGCTCAAGGATTTAAGATTTAAGATAAGCACTTTTGCTGTAAACCAGCTATGAAAGTGCTAAGAAAATATGGAAAACTAGTAGAGTGTTACACTTTGATCTGTAAAAAGAAGCTAATGAGTTGTTTTGTCCGACAGAACAACTCTGAGTACAGAGCAATCTTCAGGGAATGAGAGTAAGTTTAAAAGACAACAATAGTTTTGGATGAGAAAAATTTAAAATTTTTACTGACAAATTGTATCTTATAGAATTTAAGCCTGTTGGTACAAAATCTTCATTCCCAGTTTCCCCAAGAAAGATTGTAATACATGCAGTTGTGACTGAACCCCAATCTAACTGATAGATTGGACACTGTCCACAATCCTTTTCAAGGAAATGGCTAGAATTAGAAATGTGTTTTTGTTTTTTTTTTCTTGATTGAATACCAATCCATTGATAAGAATCTAGAAATTGAGATGGAGAGATCCACTCTGGGTACAGGCTGGTTACATGTAAGTTCTTTTCTAGATTAAGCAACTTATTGGCACACAAGACCCAAGAATTAGACAAAACCAATGGTTCTGCACCCTGCTTGCACATTTTTTTAATTTTAAAATCATTTTAGCATATTGATGCTTTGGAATCTGTGCACGTTTTATTAGAGAGAAAGCAAGTTGTTCTCTAACTGGAGTAATGCACAAATGCACAAATGGGCATTTGACTGTTGTCCATGACCAAGAGGATGAATAATTATTTAAAACCTTCTTGCATGGGATGGGATATTTAAATAAGAAATGTCAAATTTTTACCATGCCTGGTCCCAAAACAAGCCTCAGTCTGTTGTGTTGTTTAGCATTAGTTTTAAAAAATAAGATTTTCACTTTGCTTCACCAGTCATTCAGCAGATCACTCCATAATATTCATCAAAAAAGCAAACCGCATTTCCATTGGGAAACAAATTGAAGGAGGATTTGAAGGCCGCACACGTGTCAATTCACATTTTCAGCATTGTGCATATGATCAGGAGGGGTTTATATGTGTTTCAGTCTCAAAATAGTTCAAATAACTGAGGTAAATCTTATCAGTGTTCGTGACCCACAACAGTTTGCAAAGAGAGAAGACCTTTTCGCCAATTTCGTACAGAATAGTTACAAGGTAGGAATTGTCTCGTTTCAGTATGAGGACGACACGAAGTTTTAAAGCCATAAAATCATTTCGCTTCCGGGTGGAAATGAAAAAATGTGGAAATGCTGAACTAAAGCAAAGCCTGGGAAACAGCAATTAACATATATTCGAAGGTCTGTTTGCTTAATGAGACATCGACCGTACAAGTGTTCGCCTCGGGGCTGTAAACTTGAAAACCGAAAGAAGAATTAAAGTGCGATCTTGATTTTCCGCTGGAACTTTGACTTGATTACTGTATATGACGACGAGATACTTATTTCGCCGCATGACCTGCAATGATCATGACTGCTGTATTGATCGTTGTATATCAGTTGCTCATATGTTCAGATCAAAACAATAATATTGAGATACTCGAAACTAAAACGCAGTATTGAGAAATATTGTATAAATATCACGTCCTAATGTATTTACTGGTTTCTTCTTAAATTTCTTGCATTAATTTACCGTAGTAGAACCTTCGATGAAACCCGTGCTGTTGAAACCCGTTCTGCGACGCCGCCTGGTCAATCGACATAGACGGAACAAGAACGTCTCACAAATTTTTACCTCATTTTTATACCTTTCACCTCAAAATAACTAAATGTAACTCATAAACATACCCTGATCATTCACATAAGGTTGTTTTGGTGAAGTTTTCCGTCATTTTAACTCTGTTTTGCTTGCAAATACCATCACACTAGTCTTCGTCGACCACAAAGAATCTGAGTGCTAAAGCGTCGTGAGGAATACTTCCGCTACGGTTTACGTAACAGAATAAGGATTTTGATTGGTCAATTTTGATATTTAGGCAACTAATTAATTTGATTGGATATTGGCCTTGATATTGTAACGACAAATATTAAACACTTAACCACTTGGGATGGAAGGGGTGGTTTTATTTTTCTTCCCAAGCGGGAGGGCGGGATGGGGAAGGAGAGTACTTGGGGGAGGGGAGAAAAGAAGGGGTAGAGAACCGGTGTGGGGGGAAGAGAACTTGAGAGGAAGAGAACTTGGCAGCGAAAGGGGGCTGGGTGGGAAGAACTACGCGACTAATTATCTCTTCCAGTTTTTCAAACTTGTAAAATCATTTGTAGCTGTTTTTAAACAGATCAAAGATACTTAAGAATTTAAACACCAGCTAGGAATGCACCCACTAGAATCGTTGTCTTGACAAGGTCAGTTGACTATCAATACTGAAAATTGGAACTCATAAGAAAAAATATGGAATACAACCCATGAGAAAAGGATTATTTCCATAAACTTTATTTGGGACACCCCATAAAACAAGCTCCCTGGAAAATAAATATCTGCCATTTTTGAAGGCACAAGAAGGCGTTAGGACTAACTGTCCTGATTTAGAGAGCTATTTCTTTTTCTTTTTTTTACAGTAAGTCCAGTCTTCGCTGCGAAGTCGAAAAAACCCAGGTAGTTTTTTTGCAGTTCAAAATGTACGTAACTCGAAGAAATTATCAGCAACAAGTTGTTCCTATTCGAAATCTTATGGTTAGTAAGTTTCTTGTATGGCTTTGATGTGTCGCGTGACTGAGCTCTCTTAGCGTGACCATCAATTTCTTGCTATCTCGTCAAGGTCACGATAACACTGTGCTGTGGTATTTGCTATTGTGTTCTTGTTCTCCGACTCGTTTGTAAGACGTCACAATCCTGCCGGTTCCATGTCGCTGAGTTCGACTATTTTTTGCTTATCTGCTCTCAAGGAGCTCGAGATTGGTCCTTTTTGCGCGCGATAAGTAGATTCACACATTGGTTGTGTTTGAGGAACATCACAGCTTTCTCGTGAGTCACACGTCTTATGTTGATTCCATTCACCTGAAAAATGAACAACTATGGTAAAAGATTCTTTAGAAAAGGATCTGAAGAGGAAATAAAAATAAAATGAAAACAAGAAAGGAAACCAAAATAGTTTAATAATCCTCCAAGATTAATGATGACGCAACCTAGTTCCCAGGGTTCTCTCTCTTCCTCCTTCGAGAAGAACCCTGGTTTACTGGTCACTTGGTCACTTGTCTCCCAGAATTTTGGAGATTTCAAGAAAAAAAATGAGGGAGGGGCAACTTTGTAAAATTTTGTCCATACTAAGTGGATAGGGTAAGATAGACCGATGACCGATGACAAAATTAAGTCGAGGACCCACCCTCCATACGGCGTTCTTTGGTCTGCATAAGCATGTGACCAGCCTCATCCACGGTCCTTTCTCGAAGGTTGAATGATGACAAAGAAAAAGCTTACGCGTAATTAATGAAAGTTCCTGCTATGACATTGAAAGAAAGTGTAAAACACGTATGTACGTGTGGAGAAGGTATCAAAGGATTTGCAACACAAAATGTGACTAGTCCCGCTTCACCTCCACCGAAAAAAAAAAAGGCATCAAACACAAGTGCTTTGGTCACCTCTAAAATTCTGTCTCCGGGTACAAGTCCAAATGCTGCCGGCCCATCTGGCTGTACTTTAGTCACATATATACTCTGTGTCGTGAAAGAATTTAAGGTTAACACACAAATGCCCTCCGGAGGTCTCCGCTCTATTTTAAACCAGATGCTCAACGTTTCCATTTTTCCCAATAGTTATGTGCGAAAACCTTAGTTTACAGAGGAATAAAAAGGAGAACTAGCACACTAACAATATTAAAATGTAGGGATAGCCAAATTATATCTTGAGGCATTGTCTTTAAGTATCAAACTGATACAAACACGAATCATTCAGAGTACTGCACAATAAAATCTTCTAAAAAAAGTTCAACACAACTCAATAGGATCTCTTGGCAGTTATGGTAAGATCTGAATCTTGAACAAATGTGAAATCTACTTTTGCATTCGAAAAGTGGAGTAATGGTTGGTTACTAGGAAAAAATACAAGACAAAACTAACGAAAAAGATAGAAAGTGTAAGCCGTATGTTTGAGTGGAAAAATATTCTGCCCTTCTCCCTCGCTATCCTTTTTTTCATTCACTCGCTTGTCATATTAATTCTCCCAAATTGATCTCGGCAACATTAAAAGCAAGTGCCCGTTCCAGGCTCCTTCGAGTCAGTGGAGACGAGCGAAACAGCGGGAGATGAGGCGTGGCGGCACATTCCCTTTATCCTTTGCCCGCCCCCTTTTTTGCTTGTCTCCGCTGACCAAAACAATGGCAGCCAAATTTCTACAAACCTTGTTATCATTCGGGTGAAAGGGATTTGAAGTGGTACCGACACCGCCTGCGATACTAAATCCAAGATTAGGATTCTTGTAAACTTCCACCTGAATCTGTGTAACCAAAAAACAGTTCGAGTTAAGTTTCAACAACAACAACAACAAAAATAGACAGTCGAAGACTGCATATGGTTACTAGTATAGCTTAATTTTTATACCATTGAAAAGGACTAAAAGTAGTTTATTGAAGTTAGTGCCGCACAATATTTCTCACCTGCAAAACAGAAAACCTGCCGCATCCCACATATTACCTTGTTCCAAAAGGGGAAGATTTCTTAAGAATATATTGTCTAATTGACATTCAACAAATAATTATATGGTAACAAATAATAATATTAACAATAATAAAATTGATAACAAGGGTAATAATTTAAAGGGGCTTGCTCGAAGGCCTCATGATTCCCCTATCCTCTCGGTTCCAACAATGATTACTACTGCTTCTTTTAATTTCACGTGTTAATTATAAATACTTTTCTCATTTTATTGCAATTCCATTATTTGAGAATTTTGTTTCATGCAAAAAGGCATTCCGAGTTTTAGGATATTCCGTCATTAAAGGGTTGAGTGAGTCTTGTGCAAGGAAAACGTATGTGTGTCTCTAGCGCTCAAGAGAGGGGTGGGGGAGGGGAGAGGCAGAGAGAGAGAGAGAGAGAGAGAGTTCCACGATTAGAGCAAATGCCTCCTAATAGGCTTGTGTTTCTCCTCCGACCAACGGACATCGTAGATCCTCCCGTTCCCCCCCCCCCCTCCAAAAAAAAAAAATTCCTCAACCCTCAGTTATTGCTTGTGCTTCACTCAACTCATTATAGCGACATATAAATCGTTCTCACCAGTTCAATGGTTGGGTCATTATCCACAGGTTCACTATCTTCCTCCTCTTGTGCAGAAGAAACAGAGTGGACGGAATTACGAGACTCTGATGAGTTGCTCCGGTTAAGAACGCGTATTGAAGACGCGTCGTTGTGAGACCTCCGATTGTCTGCGACATTCGTCTGAGTTCCATCGACCATTACTTCGCCACGCTCCATGGCTCTTTCACGTTGAAGCTGTCGAACTCTGTTCTCGAATCTCGCTGCGTCTTCCTGCGAAATGTTGAATGTGTGTGAACCATTCACTTCCGGTCTGCCGGGAGCGACTGGTTGCCTACTAGCATTTAAAGGAACTGCCGGTTCCGGTAAAATATGCCTGACAGGGAGTTGAGCGAAGGCTTCCGGTTGTACAGTGTACTGAGGTGGTGGTGATCTATTGCTGCCGTTTAAACCATTTATTACAACCGAATTAGGCACAGTTCGCGATGTAGATAAGACGTGTCGAACAGTACTTTCAAAAGGTGCTCTATCAGTTTGGTTAGTAGCCTCGTAATACGAAGGAGGCCTAAGGGGACTTTGTACGAAGCTGGGCTCCTCCTCGTTGAAAGAATGCATTTCACCTGTTTGGGAGCCCCCTGACTCTCGGCCCCCACCAGATGAGGTACTCCACAGCCGAGCCCCCGGACGTCCCTGATAAGATGACGCACTGGGCATTTCTTCACGGAATGAGTGCTGTGATTCCACTGATCCTTCAGAGCCCCCTGTCCGAGAATGCGGATGAGTGGTTCTGTTTTCTCGTGGGGTGTAGGGTGGGGGAGGCTGATATACGGGCGGAATGCGGGCAGCTGCGACCTCTTGTGCCGATGATTGCCCCTAAAACAACAATAAGATACAATATTTTATGAAGATACACGTTTGGGAAATGAGAAAAATCATGTTTCTCCTGGAAACATTAGGACCAAGGCAACAGTGATTCCAACTGAAAGTTTGAGTTACCCCAATAAGCCGTTCTCCAGGTATACTTCTTACTATGGCCTGATTTACTTTAACAAGCTGTGGTTCCCTGTTTTGGTCGCCCTGGCCGTTCCCCGTATTACTCCGCTGAGTGATACCATTTGATATCAACCTTTGACTGCTGCTCAGTGGGTGGACAACCGCGGCTGGTTGACCTCGTCTCTGCTCTGAAGTTTGAGTGGGGACTGGAGGCTAGAAAACAAATAAATAACACGGCAATGATGAGAAGAACGACAGCGATAATCATATTGATGGCAATCCAGGTGTGCAAGACTTACGATTCTTTGATTTCATTAGAATAATGTAAACTAAACTATCCGAGTATTATTCTATTGCAATACAAAGCAATTTAATAGGAAAATCAACGGTGTGATCCAAAGCCACCTGGCATTAAAAAGACTTGAATGAAAGAGCTTGTATTTGGGTAACCTAACAATTGCTTATTCTGAGGAACTAAAGGCAACATTTTAAGCATGGTTCATTAGGGGGTGAACTTGTTTGAAAATAAGGAAAAAAAGAAAGAAAGAAACCTGGCCTACACATAAATACAGATGGATAAAATTATATGAGATTAACCCTTTGACTTTGGACAATTTTGTTGGTGATGTACTGTTTCTCCTTAACTGAGAGAGCACATAGGAACCAACCTGATCCTCGTACCAGGGCACCTCAACTGTACGCACCTCTTGGGGTCTTGTCAGCTGTGGTAGCTCACCGCGGTCCACTGACTGCACCACAACTGGCACGGGTGGCTGCTGCTGCTGACCGTGTGTGCTGTTTGACTGTGGGGCCTATAACAGAATGTACAACAGACGAATGTATCCACATTTTTACAATGGAGGATTCTGGAAACAAGGGTGTCCCTTGATGACGTCACCCCTCAGTAGGCAAGAAATTCAGCCAATCACAGCCGATATACGTCATCAGAAGAAATAGCTTTCGTCATTGAGAATAGTTAAACTTCAACCATGAAATAACCTTTGCATCCATAAATTTCAAAAGGTGCAAATTTCGAGATTTTTTCCCAACTCCCTAGCAGGAGTTTCAGATTTATTTTTTTTAAGAAACAGTGTTTTATGAAGTGATTCAAACGTGATGTTTTGTCCCAGAGGTCATTAGTGTAAAATTGTCTTAAAATTACACACATTCTGCATTTTGCCAAGGGCCAAAGAGCTGTTTTGTGTCTAATCTTTAAAATTACTTGAGGGAACAATACGCAAATAGTTTCAAAACGTCTCAAAAAACATCTTTAGTGTTTTCAAGCCTTATTTTCAGCATCTGCACCTACAGGGAAAACTCTCCTCACAGGCAAAAGAGTAGAGCTCCTTTGCCTGTGCTTCACAATCAAGAAATGATCAAGAGCTGAAAAAATTAAAATTTTTACAGTTGCTTTAGTAATTAGTCAATTGGCTTTTTCTTAAAAAATAAAAAAAAAGATAAGCAAAGAGACAAAAACCTTAAAGTCAGTTAACGGTACTTTCAAGGACTTTCAACGATGAGTACAAAAATTCACATCACATCCCTGCCCTATGCCTCTCTTTACAACAATGATGACTTCCTTAACCCTTTCACTCTCAAGATATCATTATTTATTCTCTTTACTGTCTGTCATATCATTCTCACTATGTTTGTTTCGAGAATTTGGTAGTGGATCAACTAATCATGCCCTCATTGATATTTTTCTTTATTCTCATCACTTGTTTGCTTGTTATTGTATTGATATCATAAGGAGAAATTCTGTCTTGGTCACTCATAAGAGTTAAAGTGTTAATACAATTATTACACAAATTAAATATCTCAACACCAGTGGAATCAGATTACTTGTTGCAATATTAGTGTATTAGTATTCAACCAGTGATTAAATTTCCACAGGTGCATTGGAATTACTTGGCTTGACTAAGTTGCTAAGTTTGGGGTGTGTGTTATAACTGAGTGTGCCATATAACCAAGAAACTACGGTAGATCTTGGAAGTAAAAAAGTAAATATGGGAAGTTATCATTCTCAACTTGTGCTGAGTGAGTGAAATGCTCACCATGTGCTGAATTCTGTGCTGATACTGGTGCCTATACTGGTGTCGTTCCTGTTGGTGACACTGGTGCTGAGGGGGAAACACAGGCTGAGTTACCTCTATCTCCTGTTGTTGTTGCCGTCTGCTCGCTAAGTACTGTGTGGCACGATCTTTCACATCCTTGGGATATGGTGACTGGTACCTTGTTAATCTTGTCTGCAATGAAAAATAAATCAATAAACCAAGAAGATGCTCATTTTACAGTTAAGAGGTATGGTATCAAGCACTCAACACTTAAACCCTATGACCCTTAAAAGTGACTAGTATCTAATTTCTCCTTACAATATCACCCCCAAATTGCACATGAAGGTCATGAGAATAAAGGACATGATCAGCAACTAAAGAAGCTCTTGATTGTTAAACAAATTCTCCTTGACAGAGTCTTAGGAAATGCATAGGGAACAGTATAGAGAATGTGCATACTGATGTTAGAGTGTAAAGGGTAAAACCCTAAGAGTGACCTGCATGTAATTTCTTCTCACAGTAATTAATTATACTGAACCAGTAATTAATTATGCTGAACCATTCATTAAGATCATGAGAATTAAGGAAATGATTGCCAACCTATGAAACTTTGATTGTTAAACAAGTTCTCCTTGTCAGTACTAAAGGAAACGTACAGAGAAAAGTATGGAACAGTATTGAGAAAATGAATACTGATGTGAGGTGTAAAAGGAATAAAAAGGAATAAGAAATTACTTACCAGGTAATCATCTTCATCAATGTTGAAAACAATGGAAGATCTTTGTCTAATTTGTTCTTCTAGCAAAGATGCTGGAATACTTCCTGCTGAATCTTCACTGTATTCCTCTGATACTGACCCCCCAAAAAAATCAAAAAATAAAAATTTAAAACGCTTTGACCAAGGAAAGGAGACAAGATTAAAAGAACAGGCACACACTTAGGCGGCTGGTGTCTTCACAATACAGGAATGTTTTTTCAATTGATGATAACTAGAGTTTTGTTCAAATTTTAAAGTGAGCAGATGTTACTGAAAAGTACATGTCATAGAGTATGAAGTTTTACAGTTCATATCTTGAGTTAACCCTTTAACTCCCAAGATCTCACTAGTAATTCTCCTTACTGTCTGCCAAATGATTCTCATTATACTAGTTTGGAGAATTTGGTATTGAATCAATTAGTAATCCCATAATTGATATTTTTCTTTATTCTCATCACTTGTCTGTGTGATATTGTATAGATATAGTAAGGAGAAATTCTGTCTTGGTCACTCACAGGAGTTAAAGGGTTAATGCCCAGGGAGGCCATATAAACCCTAAACGGTAACTAACTGCTGGCTAATTTTACTAAACAACCATAGATTACTGTCAGCAGTAAATCAATAGTAATGTCAGTGGAGATGAGTTAAACATAAAGTTTAGTATGATGTAAACCAGCTGGTATACGTACCTTCATCAGCTGGAGGTTGTTGTGGAAACATATAACAAGTCAGTATATGTGACTGAGTACCATGATCAAAATCTGATTGAAGAGGAACCATTGGCTTGGACTGAAATGAAAGAAGTGTTTGTTTATCATTAATAACAATAATAATAACCTTTAAAATCTTTGCACAGTGCCACCTGATTTTCTGAGAGTCTCTGCATTATTACAGCAGTGTCCTGTAAGAGGCTGCAGTCAAAACTTCAGGTTGGTTCAGTACCTAATTACCAACAAAGCTCTTCAGAACATGCAAAAGTACAATTTTTTCTCAGGTAAGTTTAATTGAAAAGCAAGTGAAATAATTGAAAATTGTTTGGAGTATGTGCACAGATTTTGACAGTTTGAGTGCCTAAGTGCCTACAGCTATCTCTCTAGTTACATACAGGTGTAAAAACTTGGGCTTACTTGATTTTCTGATAGCCACAGAGCTTTTAAAGTAGTCAGCTTCCTGAATGTATAAGGCAAACACTCTAATCTGTTGATTACAAGAAAAGTGATTTTCTCAGTAGTTACATTACATTAAAGAACAGGCCCTGGTTATTTGAAGGGTTAATAATTTGCTATCCACTGGATAAATCTTTATCCAGTGGATAGCGCAGAATCTTTTTTTAATATTTATCTGCTGGATAGTATTATCTGCCATTTGAACAACTGGGCTCAGGACATGAATACCAAGTGCTAAACAATGTTCTTCACCTGTTGCAGGCAAGGTTTATAACTTGTAGGTTTGGCATGCGACCAATGTCATCTGGGATCCGCACAAGCCTGTTGTCACGTAGTGATAATATCGTCATTGATATGCAGCTACCTAACTAATACACAAAATAAAACAATTATGTAGTTACTGACATTCAACAGTTTAGCCCTTTCTCTAGCAAGAGAAATGTTTAAGGAAATGAGCTCTGAGATCTCGAGTATGAGGAAGAATTTATCATTGCTGTACTAAAAAAAAGGCTTCAAACTTTAGAAACTAGTTGGCAATTAGAAATGTTGTATTGCAAGGCAAGTACAAAATTTGAGATAAATACCTCTAAAGGAATTGCCTCTAGGAAATTTTCATCAGCATACAAGATGCGTAGTTTTCTCAAGAGTCCAATGGAAGCTGGCAAACTCTGCAACAAATTATTTTCAAATCCTACTACTTAACATTTCTTGGAATCAACATAAAAAAATAAAATGTCTTGAGTTACAACAATCCCCAAAGAACTGCTAGCCTCACCTCTAACTCGTTATGATTTATGACTAGCTCTTCCAGATAAGAGAGTCTACAAATGAACAAATTCAATTCAATTAAATTTTATTTACAATTCTGAACAGTAATTATAAAACCCTGATAAAGAAACCCATAGCTGGCTGAACAAAAATTTGACATTTTGAACAACTAGTATCAAGATAATAAAGTGAGTTTCATTACCTTCCAATACTTGCTGGAAGTTCAGCAAGGTGATTCTCATCAACTTTAAGTGTCTGTAGATTCCCAAGGGAACCTACATGATACAAGAGAGTGATGGAGATAATTATTTTATAATAATCAGCCTTAAACAACTGGGTGCTAAAGAAACCATTGGCTACCCTTAGTTAAGGCTAATTTACCATGACAAACATTGAAAACTTCTGTCATTATTTTGTCTCTTATGTTTGTTGGCAGCATGCAGTGGGCAACAAATTTTTGTTGACAATTTTTTTTCTGGTGAAGCTAAATGGCTACTAATGTAAAAAAATAAAACAAACAAACACATTTAAGGATGCAAGACTTCCTCAATAATAAATCAAGAGAACAATATTTAGAACAAAAATATATTAAAATTTGATCATATTTGTTCCATTTTCTTTTAAAGAACCTGCTACCTTGTAAGCAGCACAAGGTTAGTGATATGCTGCAAAACTAAAATTCCATTGTTTTGACTTATATGCGTACTGTTTGTTTCTTTTGAATATTTTTTTGTTTGCATGTTTGTATGATTTAGTATTACTGACTGTGCAACAGAGAAAAGATGAAAGCAAAATTGTAATAAGTATATCAAGAGTTCAGAAGTTTTAGGGAAACCTACCAATATTATCAAGCAATTCAAGCAACACATTGTTGGATAAGTAAAGATCAGTCAGTGACTGTAAACATTCTATTTCTGGTGGAAGACGCTCCAGTCTATTTTTGGAAACATCAAGAAACAAAAGTTGACGAAGCAATCCTATTTCCTGAAAAAAAGTGAATAAAATAGTAAATGTAATAATTTCCACAAAGACTTATGAAAAGCAAATAATATTTTTAAGTACAGGCAATGAGAATTTTGGGGATTAAATTTTCTATTATAATTTTCCTTGCTTTACTTGGGTCTCAAGTACTTAGCCTTGTGTGTTTGTCGACCAAGAGGGCAGGCTTTGCCGGAAAAGCATTGTGTTGGCCATGGCACATAGATTGAGCAGAGGGAGCTCTATAGATCACAATGAAAAACCAAACAGTATCCTGTTCCTAACAACCTTGCTCAATAAGAGAGCATTTTACCCTATGATCAGCCCTATTTCCAAGTTCACTACTTACTGGTGGAAGTTCTCTGACTCCATTATTGTCCATCCAAAGTTCTTTCAGGTTTACCAAACAACCAACAACAGCTGGCTGTTAAAAAAAAAATTCATCATGAATCAGTCCAAAGCTAAAACAGAAAAAACTAAAATAAACACTCTTCAAGAATCTTCGAGTCAATAACTTTCAAAATTATTTCACATACCAATTCAATAAATTCATTGCTTCCAATATCAAGTCTTTCTAGTTGTGTAAAATATGACATTGACCTAAAATGAGGAAAAAGAAATTTAACTTGTTTGATTTGCATTGTAAAGAGAAATTACATCTTGGACACTCTGGGAAGAGGAGGACTCAACAGCACTTACTCGGGTAATGATCGCAAGTGGTTTTCTCTCAGTTCTAGAATCTTCAGCTTTGATAATCTACAGATAAAAATAAGTAAGTGAAAAAAATTAATAAACAACTTGCCTGGAAGGGATACAAAATCAAGACTAGAGAAAATTGCAATATTTTTCAAAATTCTGATATTAGATAACAGAGTATGTTTTTTTAAAACCCTTGAAATATTAAGAGATTTTTGGCATCCTTTAATCCTTTCAGCACCAATATTTCATTTTTTAATTCTACTTATCATCTGTCATATAATTCTCATGATGTTAGTTTGGATAATCTGATATTAAATCAATAATATATTATCCTCCAATTTATATTTATATTAATTCTCAAAACTTGTTTTCTCTTTATTTATTGATATTGTAAGAGGACATTATGCCTTGATCACTAGCGGGAGTCAACCCTTTAACTCCCATAGGTGACCAAGAAAGAATTTCTCCTTACAATATCAATACAGTATCAACCAGATAAGTGATGAGAATAAAGAACAATATCAATTTGGGGCTACTGAATTAGTTGATCCAATACTACATTCTCTGAACTAACATTATAAAAATTGTATGGTTAAGGAGAATTAAGAATTTGATCTGAGAGTTAAAGGGTTGAACTGTTGAGACCAGAATAATTAATGACCTTGAACTTTATAAAAATTTATTCGCAATTGGTGAGATGATTCCATATTTTACCAAGCTTCAAACACAAATTGTTAAAATATTTATGGATCCTCACATCCAAAGAGATGAAAAACCATACTTTTGACACCATACATTGACTTAACAACAGAGTCCCCCTCTCCTTTAGCAAAGTTTCCAGTCACACTCGAAACTTCACAGTAATGCTGATTTTTTTGATAATATAACTGACTGTGTATTAAATAACAAATTACCATTTTACCTTCCAAAATTTGATGGTAAACGATCCAAGAAAGCATCATTCAAATACACATGTGTCAAATTTAACAACTGAGTAAATCCATCAGGAATTCTGCAAGGAAAAAAAACCAAAATGAAGAGAAACTTAAAATATAACAACAAATCAATGTAGTTTCCCTAAGCTAAGAAGTGAACAGAATTTAAATCAACAAGTTTCTCTCAGGGAACAGACTGAGAAAGTGAGACAAATTTATCAAATATTTATCAAATAAAATTCCCACAGCAAAAATGTAAAGAGCCAAAAAGACCCACGGCAGTGGAAAGGTGGCACAAAGCTGACCTATTACAGCATGTATCATATCCAAAAGAGAAGAAAACCAGACATAGTTTGATGCTACACTGGTTTGCAGATTTAATGTATGTAACCGAAGAAGTTACAATTCATAGACCCAACGTTTTGACACTCCTGTCTAGTGCCATCATCAGGGGTGATCTAAACGCTGCAACAAGAGGTCCTTTTATATGATCACTAATTAGCGGCCTTTTTTCTGACGAGGTGTAAATAGGCGTCAGGAAGCAAACTGCCATCATCAAGAGAAGAAAACCTTAAGATGGGAAAAATAAATTTCATTGCCACATTTTAAGATCTGCAGGGAACTACCAGTATCTGGCAGAAAAACACTGGCAGCTAGTCAAAATTTTAGCTCACTAATTGTCCATGATAAAACAACAAATTTAAAGTGGGGTAGCTTGATTACTCAGCCACAACAAAAGAAAACTTGCAATTATCAATTTAAAACTTGACAAATGCTGTTTTCAAGGATTTAAACATGCAAGTAACAGATTTCAAAGCCAGAGGTAGAAGTGTTTGAATATTGGATAAGTGATAGAAACCCCTAATAAAAAAATTGGCTGCCACCTGTAGCAGAGAATATATCAGGTAAAAGGAATCATTAAAGGCTACGTGACTAATATTTCACTGATATTTTTTTGAAAAAAAAAAAATGCTGAAAATTCAAGCAGATTGCTAATCAATCCTTTGAGATCTGCTGAAATTTGAATAATATTTTTCACAATAAGTGCCGTCCAAGGGGTCATTCGCTTTGCATCTTACTAAATTAAATGCAATGTTAAAACATACTGGAGTAATGTAATTGTTTCCTGCTGATATTTTCATTCTCTTGAACCAATAAATGGGCACATTTGTTTTCATTTTAAAAAAATTCAAGTTTCAAAGACCTTCATTATGCTATTTTAAAATCAAACAGAATAAATTGAAACATTTTATAACAGTAATTTAATATCATGCTAAATATAAGTATTAAGTATTAACTTAATTGGATCATTTCCAAAATGTATTTTTTTGGGCACTAAATACTTCTGTTGAATATCAACTGCTATTAACACCTCTAAAACATAATCTAACACATCTAATATACTACAATAAACAAAGAACGGCTCTCTATAACATTTAGAAGGGATGTTTTTAAATTCCTCATGCAAATAGATGAACAGATAAAGGAATAGACATTAAAGAGAATTTATGTACAAATTTACTCACTTTCCAATCGGATTTACGCTTGCGTCAAATTGCTCCAAACATTTGCAGTTTTTAAGACTCTCTGGTAAATCAATAATACCTTGAAGAAAAAAATTGATGTCGAGATCTCGTGTAAGTGATAAACCATAAAAATCGGTCTCTTTTAAGTTGGCGATCGAACACATCTTAAATTTCAGAAACGTAGTTTTCCTGCACTCACCGTTCTTGCTTATGTCAACTTCTCTAAGGTTCGCTAAGTTAGAAACAGCTGATGGTAACACGGTCAACTCATTGTCACTTAGACCAAGAATTAGCAAACTCTGCAGTCCAAACAAAGCCTGTGGCAAACAGCGAACAAAGACAAAATTCAGTATGTTTTTATAACAACACCAACGAAAATGACAATTACCAAAGCGACCCAGCAAAAAGTATTCGAAGAATAAATAAACTTCTCAAATACCCTCGGTAATTCTCGTATCTGATTGGCATCCAGGTAGAGTTCTTCCAGGTTTGGCTCGGCCTTAAAAATGTCTGTTGGCACTGAAGTCAGATTGCAGTGCCGCAAGTCGAAAACAGCCATTTCACCATTTCCTTCGCACTCCACAGAGAAACAACTCCTCAGGCCACCCCATCGCCTCATATTAAGCCCGTTGCAACATGGCCGAACTGTCTAAAATTCCACTTTTGGCAGTACGGTTAAGTACGGAGATTTCCGTTTGAAATACTTAGCAAGATTTCAGATCATTTTAACGGGTTGTTAACGACCCTGTGAAGAGAATCTCAGCTATCGTTGCAGAAGAGAATGCTAATTATCCAAACAAAACAAAACAAACGGTGCAAAGAGAGGTATTCTTGTAAGTACTTCGTGACGTAAAATTCTTGATTACTAATCACTTAAGTAAACTTCTTGAAAGAAAGATGACTCTTGCAAATCGTCCGATAATTCAAGTTGAAGGTAGCAAATTTGAAAAGAATCTAGCACGCCGGATGTAAATTTTTAAGTTACAGATGTGATGCACAGCTCCTTTTCAGTGAAGAGGGGTCGAAACTGTAGGGCATTTTTCGACTTTTGATTGGTCAAACTACAAAGGAATATTTAGCGCGAACCAATCAGAGATGGGCTTATTCATAGCCAAAAATAACGCTTAGCCTTAGGCCAAGAGAGATAAATACTGCTGAGTGGTTTACAAATACTGCTAATGGGAAAACAGTGCTGTACAATTTCTGTAAAGTGATAGCAATCCATTAAAAATGCGGTGCGTTATAAGGTCATTATGGGAGTGATTTACACTTCGAATGCGCTTAATCAGGCGTTCTGCTTTCATTTTGCGGTCCGATACAAGCTAACTTGTTCCTGTGCGTAATAACTATGTCAACCGCAAATGCATCTGCTCCGATGCAAATGAAAATTACTTTCTCTAGATTTTTCCCTGCTAGAGCCTCAAAGAAATATCGCCTAATTCTAATCAGCTCCCTTTGTAAGAAATATCGCGAAATATCTATTGCAATAGGGATTTATCTTCTTTTATACATAATTGTATGTTTATAATTTTCATATGTTAAGAATAAAGCAGAACAGTTTTTAAAATGTTTATGGCCTCGTCTCTTCGTAGTCAAGATGTGTTTCTTTTACCTCATGGCATAATTGTAATATATTTGAAATCTGAGTCCTCGACTTCGGAGCACAAAGTTTAAATTACATTTCATATTAGTAAAACTACACTACAAGGACTGCCTTTTTCGGTAATTTCTCTAAACGTTAAAACTAATGCCCCATTCACACCAAAGCTTAAACATGTTTAAAAGTTGTTTTGTTAAACACAGTTTAATTTTTTTTTTCTTCATAGAAACTATTTAGCCGAATATTTTTGACTTGAATGTAGCACATTGGAAATGCAAGTTAGCAAGTACTTGAATCCATTGGAAAATCAAGTTTTTCAGTTCTCTGTTTATAATTTTCATTCAATGAAAACCAGTTTAACAAAACATGTTTTGCTGGTGTGAATGGGGTATAAGTGAAATAGCGTGACTAAAATCGTTGTGAAAGTCACACAATCGTCGAATAGCGTGACGCTAAAAATTCGCCATTTCAATTCTTGACGTCACTCAATGATTCGTAATTGATCAGATCACTTACTCAAACGTGCTCATACAACATGGATCAGCCCTATTTACCAAGCATTACATCTTTCTTCCAAGAATACAAAACCGCTCTGTATGGATTGGCAGCTACTGGCGCACTTGTCATCGGAATTGGCCTGTATAAGTCTAGCTACGTAGCCTCAGGGTGTGGTCAGACGTTCAAGCAAAGCCAAATCGCGATAGCTGATTACCCAGACATGCGTATGTACAATAACTTGCTGGCAAAACACTTAACGCCTCGCCTTTACGCCAAATTGCGAGATAGAAAAACAGCAAGTGGATTTACATTGGACAACGCCATTCAAACCGGTGTAGACAATCCCGGCCATCCATTTATCCTCACGGTGGGAGCTGTGGCCGGCGACGAGGAGTCGTACAAAACGTTTGCGGAGTTGTTTGACCCGATTATCGAAGAGCGTCATCATGGCTTCAAGAAAACGGATTTCCATCGAACAGACTTGGATTCGTCTAAAATCCGTGGAGGAAAATTAGACGAACGCTATGTACTGTCGTCTCGAGTGCGCACTGGTAGGTCCATCAAGCCTTTTAGTTTACCGCCACACTGTTCGAGAGCGGAGAGACGAAAAGTTGAAAAAATTATTACCAGGGCTTTGGCTGGATTACAAGGTATGTCTTACGCTTTGACATCTCCGGAAATATGACTATTAGAGTTCGTATATTGAAGTCATTGACGTGAAAATCTTCACGCACCATTCTTCCTGCTTCACACACTTCAATCGAAGCGCATCAGATAAAACCATCTAGAGCGCGTTGGAGCAACCAAATGATCGCTTCCGTTCATGCTGGCAAAATATGCAGTGCCCCTTTAACAAACAAAATTTCCTTCAGGAATTTAATGTTATTGGTAAAATTCCAGGTGAATTATCTGGTCGTTACTACCCCTTGGGCGAGATGACACCAGATGAGCAACAGCAATTGATTGACGATCACTTCCTGTTTGACAAACCAGTCTCCCCACTCCTCACGTGCGCCGGCATGGCACGTGACTGGCCTGACGCACGTGGAATCTGGCACAACCACGACAAGAACTTCCTTATTTGGGTCAACGAGGAGGACCACATGCGCATCATTTCTATGGAGAGAGAGGGAGACATGCGCGCAGTATTTGATCGCTTTTGTCGAGGGCTTCATGAAGTGGAAAGACTTATTCAACGTCAAAAGCACGAATTTATGTGGAATGAACACTTGGGATACATCCTCACCTGCCCTTCCAATCTTGGAACAGGACTCAGGGCTGGAGTGCATATTAAACTACCACTTCTTTCAAAGGTGCCACCTTCTATCCAATAGTAGTAATAGCATAACTATAAAAGATAGCGTTACTGGCATAAACATTCTTAAAAAAATTGTTACTACTCACTAAACTAAAAAGGATCTTCAGACTTGAATCGTCACTATCGCGTACCCATCAGAACTTCCTTTTCTTTCTTTCTCTCTCTTTCCCTTCTTACTTAAAGTCCAACCTCCACTTCCCTTTGAACCGTTGCCTTCCTTTAACCCGTTGATCCCTAAGAGTGACTAGCATCTAATTTCTCCCAACAATATCCGCCTGGAATCAAACATTAAGGTCATGAGAATAAAGGAAATGATCACCAACTAAAGGGGCTGTTGACTGTTCAACAAATTCTCCTTGTCAGCACCTTAGGAAATGTTTTGAGATCAGTATGAAGAATATGCATACTGATGTTAGAGTGTAAAGGGTGAAAAAAATTATTTCAAACCGTTCCAATATTTCTTTGCGCTATGTGTACTTCAGATAGTCAAACGAACTGCTTTTTGCACAGACGACCCAGTATAGTATCTTCCGCAAGTTAAATACCTTAATCGACAAATCTCTTAACAAGATTGCTTCGAATATTTGCAGAACCCACGATTTAATGAAATTCTGGAATATTTACGACTACAGAAACGAGGAACTGGTAAGTATTAGTCCTATTCGGTTACTCTTTACTCGTTCCCTTTGTAACAAAAAAGTCAAAAAGTACCTTTTAAGAGAAGATTTAGGAAAACATCTGACACAAATTAACAATAAAAAGTGTCAAGAAAGATGGACGACGGGTGTCCGATGCAGCTACTTAACCCTTTAACTCCCAAGATCTCATTAGTAATCCTCCTCATTGTCTGCCAAACGATTCTAACATATTAGTTTGGAGAATTCGGTACCGGATCAATTAGTGATGCCTCGTCTCTGCAACTGGAACCAGCCAATATGTTAGTTTTGCTTTGCTGCACACTAAAGTCGCTTCAGTAGTCTGGCATCATCTTCTTAACCAATCAGGGACGTAGTTACATCCGTTTCGCCCCGCTTAAAACCGAGTTCTCATTGGTTCTTGTTTGTACATCTCTTTGCTCTACTTGGAGGTTGGGAAGAGAAGATTAGTTTGGTTTTAGTTTTCCGACATTCAATCAAAAAGTTGGAATAATGAGTTCGAAAGTGCACGTAAGATGGTCGAGAGTGTACCTCTACTTTTAATTCAACGCATATCATATTTCTACCCGATAATTCGTAGGAACATTCAGTGCTTTCTTGCTTTTAAAACCATTACAATCTATCCACTCAACAGGAGGAGTGGACACGGCAGCCAAAGGAAGCGTTTTCGACATCTCGAACCTGGACAGGCTTGGTTTCTCTGAAGTGGAACTTGTCCAGAAAGTGATCGACGGTGTTGGTCTCCTAATAGTGATGGAGAAGAGACTGGAAGCTGGCCTACCAATAAATGACCTTATACCGTCGTCAACGAAATCGGAGTGAATTCCATGATGAAGACAGGACAGGACAACTTCTATGACGAGCCAAACGGAAAATGACAAATGTAAAATAAACTCGCAGTTGTTCGTGGCAAGCTCACTTGCTTCACGAGGGCGAAACTGCTTCTGAATCAGTGCAATTACCGATGTAAGGAGTAGCATATTTTCAAAGACCTTTTCAAGCTTTCCTTTCAACCTACTGTCATTTAATAATGAATTGAATGTAGTCTTGGGAGAGAGTGTTGTTCTTTGCATCTAAAATTCACAGCCAAACAGATTGGGAAAAAAGATGGATCAAATACGAATAAAAAGATAAAATACCTCAAAAAAACCTCTTGAAGATTTCTTTAAAAAACACATAAGCTGAACTAAGTATTATCAAGCGTCTAGAGTGGAGAATTATATAAAACAAAGCAGCGCACCTTTCAAATAACCCTTTACACCCTGACATCAATATCCATATTCTCCACACCTATTTCTTTACCTTCCCTACATTACTGACAAGGAGAATTTGTTTGACAATTAGGAGCTTCTTAAACTGGTGATCATTTCCTATGTTCTCATGACTTTTACATATGATTCTAGGGTAATACAGTAATGAGAAATTGGAAGTCAGTCACCCTTAGGGCCTATGGTAAAGGGTTAAATAAGAAATCGTCTGAAGAAAATATTGCCTTTTGAACTGAGGATAGAAATATATCGTGCTTTCATAGCACTGCATTTCAATTACTGCTTAGAGTCGTGGCATCACTGTTGTAAAAGAAGTTCCGGCAAACTTGAAAAAGTAAATGAATGAGCTCTTTGCTTTGTGACACGGGACAAGTCAACCACGTACGAGACGTTGCTAAAACAACTAAACCTGCTGTCTCTATTTAATCAAAGAATTGTTAGAATAGCCACCGGTGTCTACAAAGCTATCCATGAGTATAAAGTCCCTACAGGAATAGGAGAGCTATTGCATGAACGCGATCAACTAATTATGATCTTAGAGGAAAAC